CTTATCATTTCCTATGTGTGAGGTGGAGTAGTTGCCTCATTCTCCAGCTCCGAATTCTTTGAATGAATTTGCCTGTCTATACTGCGTTATCACATCTGGATAGACTGTACATGGTTCTGGGCAGTTGAACTGGGAAGAGGGAGCAAGAAGCCTCCTTTCCCTTCCTTCGCATGAAAAAGCTAGGCATATTGATAGCCCTTCCACTTTGTGAGCCACATCATCAGTCAGTACAAATTAGTATAGCTCTAATGAAGGCAGTGGAACTGTGGATGTGACCTCTTGAGCAAAATGCTGCTTCTCCCTAGCTCCCTGGTGAGGTACATGCTGCCAGCCCATAGTGAGTGGGGAAGGGAAGAGAGGAGGCAAGGTTGTATGCCTGCCTCCCACCACAAAGATGCATCTGCTACTGGGGCCTGGCTGGACGCAGAGGGGGAACATGCCCTATGCACTTCACAAATCTCTGGAAGGGCATATGGGTCAGTGCCTTCATGGCACAATAGGGTTTTTAGTAACAAGCATGCACATAAAGTGAGCCATGATGGAGGAAGAGGGGAAATAGGGTTGCCAATTGTGGTTGGACCTATTCCTGGAGATTTAATCATATGACATAATCTTTAATGAAAGAGGAATCTTTAATTCCTTACTCCAGGCCAATTATGGAGGGTTGGTAACATTAGGAAGAAAGGGAAGAGCTCAGGAGGAACTTAAGGTGCATTCCCTTAAAAATCATGCTTTCCCGTTGAGGTACCATGACTGCTGGTGCATACACTTAGTTGTAGAGAATGAAAACATAATTGTCAAACTATTGCACAAACACATGTGCACACAGGTGTCCATACTATGGATGCTACTGGAAAAGCTGTAAAGTGTTCTGGCTTTATAATCTAGTACCAAAATGTATTTGTCATCATTGTTCCCAGGCAAGAGAACAGAGACTCATTACAATCATCGTTGTAGCTCCCTTTATAATTTGACTAAAATCAGATGAATGCATCTACAAGGTTGTCCTTAAAGCCCCTTGGGCGTGCTGTGTATCTCTCACTGCAAAGTGATTGCTTCGAGCAATTACGAATTCATTTTTAAATAGCTCAGTTTTTTCCAGGTACAGTGGAATGCAGAATTGCCTTTTGCTCACAAGAGGCCTGCAAAAGAAAGTGAGCCATAACTTGTAGCTCTTCTCTCAGGGAGGTGAAACGACAGTCTTCAAAAGAGGGCAGAGGACAGAGAGGAGATAGGAAGCTTCATGGATGGATGATAAAACTTTCATATCCACTGTGGACTCTGGGACAGGACTGTGCTCCCCTGAGGTGCAATCAATGTCTCCTTGAGAAGCTCTTGAGACACCATAGCTCTCTTTTTTCCCCAGTGCAAGACAGAATGATAAAAGTATGATCTAGGCATGCATGGAACAGTTGCATGTGCACATGAACTCCAGTCTGAGAGAGAGAAATTTTCAAATGCATTTTTACTGCAAATTTTACTCATACAATTCTTCTACATGGGTTTAAATTATTGAGCAACCTAGCACATAAGACAACGTCAGCACATATAAAGTTAGGAAGCAAGAAGAAATTAACACCTTCCCCACAAGGTAAAATAGTCCTGCTATACTACTTCATTACTGTCTTGTTTAGAACATGTGGAGGATTTATGGTTAACCTAGTTCGTATTTTAATTATTAATCTGAGTTTAATATAGTTTTTGTCATATTTCAGGTAGAGATGAACTAAAACAAAATCCCTGGATGCAAGTGTCAATGAACTCTGGGAAAGTTCAGATAAACTGTAGAATTAAATTCTGTTTCTCAGGTCATCCATGATTCTTAGCTTGGCCAAATAACTGAGGCTATGCCTTTACTGTATAAAAGACGGTAATGGGGATTTTACAGTAGGATAATTAATGGGCATTAGCTATTATGCTGTAGAATCCCTCCGGAGACAAAGCACTGAAATTTTAGTCAAATGTGAGATAGCTAGGTGAGGGTCAACGTATACCTCAACCCATAGCTGATATTTTTCAGTTCATCTCACAGTAAAACTGTAGTGCAATACCTCCATAAGGCTTACGCACTAATTATTTCATGGTAAAACCACACCCTTTTGGCAGAGAAGAAAAAGCCTGAGAATGGTTCCTAGGTGCTGCCATTTGAGAGACTGCATTTCAAGTACTATAACTGTTTGTGGATCCCTAGGGTAAGAACCATGCAGAGGGAAACAACTAAGTCTTCGGGAAGGATGGACTGTTTTGGATTTTCAGGACTCAAAGGAAGATTTAGATCTCAGGCAGAAGCTAAAGTCTGGAATATGGGAAGCACCGGTAATCCTCAAAACTTAAAATGTGAGAGTTAGCAAGTGAAAACAGTGGAATGATAATCATCATAAAAACTGGATTAAAAAAAATAGTTTAAACACATTTACTACTTGATACTTTATGTCCGTGATAAGATATCAAATGGCTTGAATCTTCAAAACACTCGCTGCATCAAGCTACGCATTTGTTACTAGTGCCAGTGTAAACAGGCTGCCAGCACTGGGAGCCATGATGCCCCTCGTTGAGGTGTTTTTTAAAGCACACTGTTCCATTAAAGCGCTTTAATCTGGTAAGTGTAGCCAAACCCTTACACAGGGCTTTTCTTCAGCTCTGGGAAAGGTATTCAGAGAGTCACAGTTAAATACAGAAATTATGTAGCGTAATTAGTAATTAGTCAACACACATTTCAAGAGACCATTCAAGATGAAATATCCAGTTAACACTTCTCCAGTCATAGGGAGGAAAAAACTGTCATGGGAGGGGTTAGTGAAATAATGGGCAACCTGTGGTCCTCTGAGGTTCTGTATATGGCCCACAAGACATTTTGTTTATAGTTGACCCCAGGGTTGCCAGATTGTGTCTGCATAGTTTTTTTCCCTACCAGTATTGCTATAGCACCATGCATATAAAGCAAAGGTATGTGAAGTCATGTATGTGCTGACTGCACACAGCATTGACTATGAGAGCCGTGTACTCTCTCTGAATCCAATCAAAGCGCAGCTACAGTTCCATCGGCACACCCCGCAAATTCTAGTTACGCAAGCTCAGTTAGCAAAACTACCCTATTCCAGGAGATCGTCTTGGTCACAACAACCTTGCGGCACACTTGCTAGACTAGGTTGCCCATCCCTGGGTTAGTGGATTAGAGTGATAGTGAATACACAGGCTCCAGCAGATTGCTGTTGCAGCTTCTAAGATAGCTCATGGAAAATGCAACATCACTGTGGCAGAGAGAAGAGTTCAGAAAAAGCAGGCTTTGCTGCTGTCTCCTAGGCATTTCTCTTTTGTTCATAAGACAGTGGGACAATTTAAGGATTCATAACAGAAAACTTGAGTCGTTAATTGTACAGGCCAGAAGAAAAAGAAGCTGCTGTATTCCCAGAAACATCTTGAATTACTGTAATTAACACCCCGTGTACCAGGTTTCCTTTGCAGATTTAATGATTGTCAGCAGCTCCTACACCTTCTTCACATTGCATCTTTGTTCAATGCTCTAGATTTGTATATTTCCCCCCTCCTTCCTCCTCCTCCTCTCAACAAGACAGTTGATGAAATAGCACGTTAGCTTTCTTTCTGTAGAATGATTACAAAAAGAGCTGTTTCATCTTGAACCCTTTATAAGCATAACAAATGTATCCTTTAATCAAGGGGGTATTTTCAGTTTCTTTCAGAATGCTGAAGTCATTATATTATGTAACTTCAAAATAAACTAATAGCAAAGTTGCCACTCCTGGCAACTTTCAACAATACAGGAAATTATGTCCATCTCCCATTTAGACACAGTAAACATATTTTATATTATATCATAGGGGTGTTAGTCTGTAACTTTAAAAATAATGAATGGTCCAGTGGCATCTCAGAGACTAACCAAAATATATAGAATCATGAGCTTTCATGGGCAAAACCCACTTCATCAGATGAACTGGATATCTATTTATATCTATATCAAAGTGTGAAAACATTTGC